TCACCCGTTTGAAGATGGCGAAGATGGATCCGATGGAGCCGAGACAGTCGATGTTGGACGAGCCGTCGAGCGGGTCGAACGTGACGACGTACTTGCCCTGGTGGTCCAAGTCCACCTCTATAATGTTCTCATTCTCCTCCGATACCATCACGCACGTCGTGAACGACGACCTGGAAGATAAGAGAGAGAGGTTATAGACAACCATGAATGGCAAAGCAACGAGAGAATAAGAGAGGGAGAGAGGAGAGAAGAGACTGGGAGAGCGAAAGAGGAGGAGAGAGAGAGAGGGGAAGGAAGGAGAGAGAGAGAGAGAGGATAGAGAAAGGAGGAGAGAAGAGAGACAGAGAGAAGAGAGAGAGAGACGAGAGAAGAGATGAGAGAGAGAGAGAGAGAGAGAGAGAGAGAGAGGATAGGAGAAGAGAGAGGAAAAGACAGAAAGAGGACAGACGGGGAGCGAGAGAGAGAGAGAGGGAGAGAAGAGGAGAGAGGAGAAGAGAGAGGAGAGGAGAGAAGAGGAGGAGAGAGAAAAGAGGAGGAGAGAGAGGAGACCGAGAGAGATCCCGAGAGAGGATGAGAGCTAGAGAGAGATGAGAGAGAGAAAGAGAGAGAGAGATGAGAAGAGAGAGAGAGAAGACGAGGAGTAAGAGAGAGAGAGAGAGAGAGAGAGAGATGAGGAGAGAGAGCGGAGACCGAGACGAGAGACACGAGACGAGAGACGAGACGAAGCAGGATACCATCACACATGTCGTGGAAGATGACCTGCAAGAGATAGAGATAGAGAGGAAGAGGGAAAGGGAGAAGGAGAGGAAGGGGAGAGGAAGAGGGAGAGGGAGGGGAGAGGAAGAGCTGAGGGAGAGGAAGGGAGAGAGCAACAGGGAGAGGAAGAGAGAGAGGGAGCGAGAGATAGAGAGAAGGGGAGGGAGATTGAGAGTAAGAGAGAGAGGAGAGAAGGAGAAGGAGAGAGAGAGAAGGAGAGGAGAGGGAGAGTCTTAGAGGGAGAGAACTGTCACTCAGGTCGTAAACGAGGATTTTCTGTGAGAGAGAGACAGCATAGCTGCCCATAGCATATAGATTACAACGCATGGGTTATCCCCCGTGTACTTAATGCATATAATATCAGGAGACTCTTGATAATATGGGTTCTCCCCAGCGTATATATAATAAATATGGTACATATTCCATGTGTATATTATATGTATATATAATCAGGGTCTTAATCCAGCGCCATTTTTCATACCGAATAACCGGCACCCAAATACGACCCTAGCAAAACACCCAAATTACGACCCTAGCAAACGCCCAAATTACAAAATTCATCAAAACGTCCAAATTAGCAGAGCTCTGATGCAGATCTCCATGTTTCTATCATTATGTAGCAATGTTTTATAATAAAATTGCTCATATAAGATCTATATCTATTTATCTGAATAAAATGTGTCGCACCAAACGCCCAATTAATGTGATAGTAAGTATATATATGTTTTTTTTAGGCTCGCTACACTCGCCATGGGTGCCCATATTAAGCAGCTATATTAGCCCAGGCTGTACATATGGTATATTACGCATTTAACCAAAATCAACAATGACACTTCAAATTGATTCTCATGCGCACGCACGCATGGAATCAAACAAAACACACCCTTAGGATCATTCGTTCACCTTAAATCAATCGAAAGTGCATGTTGATCAAACAAGTCCTAATATGCCATGTAACAGCACGTGATGGGTCAACACTGATTGCCACGGGTGCACATTAGACCGGGGTCTGCCTTAGACAAACATTCTTGACCACGTTTATAGTTGTAAACATGCATCCAGGCCCCAATTTATTATAAGGAAGTACACGTGATATATATATACTGTTATGTGGCATATTATGCTCATAATCATCGCATCCGTTTAATTTGCTTATTTGCCACACAAAAATATTTTTTAAACAGGAAATTTAAGTGCAATAAAAACATGGAAACTGCTGTTTTCTACACTATTTTTGAAAGAAAAGAAAAGAAAAGAAATGGCTGCTGCGGCGACGAACTTGAAAAAATACGCAGCTATTTCCGTAGCCCAGCTAGCGTCGCAAACACACGTACGTACGTGCAATCAACAACGTGGTAAAGTTCACGCGTAGGACACACTCTGACGGTAACCTTTTGCACCTATCTCCTGCTCCCTTCTTTCTAACACACAAACATGTACGAAAGCGCCTAACATCAGACCTGCGGGCCCGGGAGGCAAGAACTTAGGGATACAAATGACCAAACTCCCGTCCCTCCCTCACCGATCCCCTCTCCCACCCCGCACAAGCAGAGGTGGGCAGGTAAGGGAAGACTTCCGCGGTGGATACGCAGCTACGTTAGATTGGATATAGGTTAGGTACGTGCCACACATCCGATCCAGCATGTACACGGCCACTGCTCGCCCTTGCAATGGCAAGGCCGCCACGCGGAGCACCCAGATTGATGTAATAAAAAAATTTCCAAAAATAAGGAGCGATCTAATGTTAGCTACCGCAGCTATGGCTCAATGGTAGAGTGCTCGCCTCGCATACATGTAGAAAGTCGGGGGGTTCAACTCCCGGCCGGGTCATACCAAAGACTTGAAAAATGGTACACACGGCTGGCTTCTGTGCTTAGCATTCAGCAAATAGAGATTGAGTGTGGCAAGTTAACTCGCAGTGCTACCAGTGGACCCCTACAGGCTACTGTACCATTTACTGTGAAAGCAGCTGCGGGGCCTCAGGGTTACTGAAACGGAGATAGGCACCGCCCTAGGCGCCATGTAGGCGCGGGAAGGATTTAACTTAACTAACTAATGTTAGCTATGAGGAGCAATAAACCTCATAGCTGGCAGCATCGTTGGATGCACGGCCACCGCTTGCGGGATGTGCGATCTGCTGCTTTGGAGAAGTGAGAAGTGGTATGGGTAGAAACAGACAGTGAAACACATAGACATAGTGGGATTGATGACCAGATATAGGTGTGCAAAAGGTAGAGAGAGAGAGAAACTATCAGAGAGGGGGGAGGGACAGAGAGAGTGAACGTGAAAGAGAGAGACTGGCAGAAAGAGGGAGAGGGATAGAGATAGTGAGTGAGTGAGAGAGAGAGAGAGAGAGAGAGAGAGAGAGAGAGAGAGAAAGAGAAAGAGAGAGAGAGAGAGAGAGAGAGAGAGAGAAAGCGAGAGAGAGCAAGAGAAAGATAACCAGCATAGAAGAGGGATAGAAATGCACATGCTAATTCACTGTAACACAGTATGAGCACTAGCAATAAAACCAGTGGCATAGTATCATGCAACAATGTTAATGACTCTTTATTAGCCAACCTAACCCAGCACGCACGCCTAAGAGCCTTCACTTGAATAAGGCAAGGCATACACCACTTATTCTATGCATGCACCACATCTAGCCCCCCAGACAATTTTGTGCCAACGTGACCGAAATTCCAACCATTATTTAAAAAAAAGACAAGGTCACATTGAAAACGAAAAATTAGTATTCAGATCACGAATAGGTGGTACTGTTTCTGGTATGATTGTATAGTACCCTGCAATCTAAAAGACTGGAGGGAAGGGTCAATGAAAATTTTAATAGCATGTATTGTATTGGGTACAGTGCACAAACATAAGACAATGTATTGCTCATTCATTCTGTTACTCACCTCATCATGTTAATGAAGCAGTCATTGGAAAGTTCATCTAGTTTCTTTACTTCTTCACCTTGCACGTTCACTGTACCAGCTATGCCATACCTGAAGAAACGACTCGGCACAATTAGTGAAATCTAAAACGATTTATAACAGTTTAACACTTCCAACTTGAAGTTTAAACATTGCTTACATGTGCCAGCATTTTTTACGTTTAAATATTAAGTTATTAATTAAATTGAAGTTATTAATACTGCATGCACTGCAGTCATTAATTACCATTTATCATCAAATGACATACGGGCTTACAGGCTTTCAGATTTGAAAAGTACAGGAGGACTACTAATGACTCCCCTAGTTAAGATACGCGGTGAACGTTGGAAGGAAAATATCCCAATGCAATTAGTGGTTGTTGTATTGTTGTACAAGTTGTATAAGTTGGTACACTGGGTTCAACTGGTGGAGCTGTATGAATTTTACGAATAACACCGCATTGTGCTGCCACCTATCGGCAGTAATCGCAAGAAAATCTAAAACGAGCCAAAAAGAAATATAAATAAAAACTGCTCCTAAAACATTTGTTTTTTTTACCCAGTTGGTGACGCCACCTATGAACGCGAAAATCTCAGCGAAAGTAACAAGCATACTTCTCACATCAGCTAACCACAGTTTTAAAACTACTCAATGCTATCTCCTGGGGTGTCGGACGAAATGGCTAACAACTAACGACTGAAAACTACGCACCTTGCCGTTGGGACTGTCCTTCGTCGCCGGGTACATGAAGATACCTCCGTAGCACAGGGTTCTGTGCACGTCTCCCACCATGGAGCCGATGTACCGAGCTCCGTACGGCTTACCGCTCTGCAGCAGAACAACGGACAACTGCCAATGCTGCACTACATGTATCTTGTACATGCGCTATTATTCAGAATAATATTAAGGATGATGATATAGGCGGACCCGCCTATATCATCATCCTTAATATTATCCACTCATCTTTCTTTTATCTCTTGAAAATTATTTCTCTCTTCTTTCGTAACTGCAAATGCTGCGCATATTAGATCTTGTACATGCGCTATATCATCATCCTTAATATTATCCACTCATCTTTCTTTTATCTCTTGAAAATTATTTCTCTCCTCTTTCGTAACTGCCAATGCCGCGTATACTACATGATCTTGTACCCCACCTTATATCTCTCCTCTTTCTTTCTTTTTTGCATTTCCAAAATCATCACTATTATAATTATCTTTTTTTTCGTTATTGTACATGTGCTATATCTCTCATCTTTTTTTGTCTTTCCAAAATTACTACCGACTCTCGTTTTTTTTAATCGTCCAAACTACTTGATGGTTTCGCTGCGCATTGCACGACGAAAAATCGGCTACTGCGGGTAGAACGCAAGGAAAGAAGAGATAGAAAGGAGGATATAAGGATATAATGATATTAGGGATAGAAGGAAAATAGAAGAGGTCAAACTCATGTGAACGTAACTGCCTGCTTCCTGCACAATCGACCCATGCTGTTAACTACCACATAACTAAATAACAACTTTTACTTCGTCAGCTGGACACACTAGAATACGTTCTGAGCAATTGCGCACCAGTTGGACACTATAGTCTCGACCGGTTAGACAGAAAGAAGACTCGCGCTTATACGAAGATGCGACGAGTTCGATAACAATTCACGCGTCATAACTGCATCCTCTAACACGCTCTCGCAGTACTCTTACTCTATCGCAGTACTCTCTTACTCGCACACGCATGCAGTACCTTGGGGTACTTTTTGCTCTGCACGTATTCGGTGACGGCCGGATCCCAGATACTCGCGTATCCCTCGTTCAGACTGTAGATCTTGCCGCGTGGCTTTATCGAGAAGTTGGACTCGGTAAGAACAAACTCTCCGATAGACTGTGGCGAAGAGAGACACACACACACATATATATATAA